CTTGGTGTCTGGCTCATTCATTGAAGTCCGAACTCATCTAGTAACATCCATAGAGAGTTACAATAAGAGTATTTTGGTGTCAATCACACTACGGATAACATGCTCTGTTCAAAAGTTTGTTTCCTGTGGAGTTCTTTTTGTGTCAAATTGGGCAGTATACAGGGAGACAATCCCCTACTTTTTTGTAATGTGTTTTTAGGTAAACATCGGCAATAGTGCATACGGGACCAAATACTTTACGTGCACGCTATCGTAGCCTTTTAACTGAACCACAAAGGGATCACCTATTGGAATGGAAACTCGGACCAAATATTTGAGAGGATCTTAACGGTTCAGCACACACATGTGCCTACCACAAGCACCTGCGTTAAGATGCTCTCTTATAAGCATTTTCTAGCTCTTGCACGTGTAGACCAATAACTATTACCGATCTCCTCTGCACCACAGGAAATTAACTTAAACCATAGGCCTAGTACTTCTGTTTTTCCAACGATTTTGTTCTATAATATATAAAAGCATTTTGGGGTTTAGTTTAGTTTATTTTATTATAAGTTGATCAGAAGTTGTTTAAATTAACATAAATTTTTACTTTTTTAGTTATTTCGGGAAATGAGATTCACTTGGAACGCCACGATCTAATGGTCTTCTCGCACCAAACGCCTCTTGATTGCACCAACACCTCCGCCAGTCGCCAAATACAGATTCAAAACCTTCTGAATACAAGTAAATTCATGGTAAAATCAATGTGTGTTTTTTTTTAAATAAGCCTTTTCTTTAGAGTAGTAGAGTTTTAGTTGTGCTTTCCTTCCTGTTAGTAAGGAGCTTCTGATTGCACTACGTCCGAAGGACCTGGAAATAACATTATATTTTTGAGCTCACAATTATTTATTATCTACTATTAGACACTTTGCCGTATTCACGACGAAATAGAATGCTCTTATAAAGACATCTCCTCGCAATGTGTAGGCCACAGGCTGAAAAGAACTACTACTAGTCTACTATCCAGTGATGTTGGAGTGATGTTTACATTTATAGCTAAAAGGTAATATGAAGTAACTAGTTTACCTATCTATTGCAGGGTATGTTATGTTTACACTTATCTACAAAAGACACCTTTTCAATTACCCACATACACTATTGCCTACATCTATATATAATATAACTTTCAACTGGTGCAGACTGTACGTGGGCAGAGTGGAAATTCCTAAATCAACTGGAGTTGGTCGCTGCAAGAATCTACTCAGTAAATAGGGCAACATCTCAAACTCGGTAGAATGCAACTGTGAAGAATAACCACAAACTATAGACCATGTTCTCAGTTGTCCCTTTCTGGAGAAAGCATGTACTGCTGCTGACATTTGCAGAAGTCAAAGACAACGCTAGGTTAGGTGTACGGGCATTTGAAGGAACTGTAAAGGCTATCCCCCTCCCCGCGTAGGGGATAGCTGGCCCTCCCCGTCGGGGCATACTTCGTCGGGGTGTTATCTACATAGCCATATTTCGTCAGGGAGAAAAAAAATATACTTTCTGCATATTAGTAGACTCTAAAATCGATTAAATAACCCCTAAATTGTCAAAATCTTTTGAGGTTTGTCCCCCCTTGGACCACTTTTGAAACCAGAACAAACAAATATTTTTTCTGCTAACGCCGAAACAAAGCCATCAGTGAAATCTTAAACCACTGATATGATGTTGGAATATTGTAGAAATATATAAAGGGTTTAAAATATAAAATACTTTGTGCAAACTAGTTTATATTTTCCTCCAACAGTAGCAACGTTGATCTTTTAGACCAAATGTTAAAAGCCATTAATACCTCTATTAATGACCTTTGGCCCGGAAGTGAACCATATTTAACTATAAATGGAGACAGAGCAACATTGGCTCCTTCAATTTCCTCTAAAGGTCAAGTTCAAGCAATATGTCCCGGAGGACAAAACGCTGTCAACTATAGATGTGGTAATTATATTTTAAAATATTTTTTCTACTTTTTTTTAATATAGAGTATATCTAATATGCCTAATATATTTATCCTTGGTAGTCATGTAGCTTATCTGTGATTCAGCATCTGCGTCTGTTTTTCAAGAAAAGGTGATTTTCTTAATAATTATGTATTCTTATATTTGTATTGTATTTGTAGACAGTGGTGGTTATCGGATAT